GGATAAAGCCTATGATGAAGATGACAAGGACAACTTTCAGTTACCAAAAAATATTAGAGAAATCAAATACAAGAGGCTTCACTGGAAACATGACAAAACTGGTCCCTGAAGAACCACAGACAGATTATTTTTTTAATCCAACTGAAAAACAACTCTGTACTTGCTTCTGACAGTTATTCTCACCTCCCTGAAATAAATTCGTTACACACAACGTGACTGGGCAATGGTCCCTCTAACCTCAAAGGCATGGGATCCTGTCACAGTCACTGACAGTGGACCATGGGCTAAGGGGTAGGAGCTGAAGCAGTTTGCAATGCTCTATGAGTTTAGGCAAATCTCTGCTGTATCCCAACAAATAATAAAGGTGGCACAGAGAGTTTTGTTGGGGGAAGCTCTGCAGTGCATGACACCCATTCATCATTCAGTGGCAGGGAGACACCCCACTGTCCTCACTGCTTGCTCAGCACAGCCCCTCACCATTTGTTGCATTTGAAAATCATCACCTTTGAAATGGCAGAAAGTTAAAGTACCTTTGAAATAGCAGAAAGTCCAAGTACCTTTGAAATGGCAGAAAACAGGGCCCATTCTCTCACACAAAGGGGACTCGAAGCCCTCACAGGCAGAAAACGGGGTCTGGGGGCTCTTCTGTGAAAGGACATAAGACCCTTTTGAATATACTCATTAGTGTTGTGGCTGGCAGAAACTGTTCTTCTGTGCCCCAGCTGATGAACACGAGTGCTGCTGCCAAGTCTGTTGATAAATAAAAAAAGATAGGAAAAGCCTTATGGTTTTTGAAAAGGGCAACAGGAACTCAGTGCTCAAGGCAGCAAACACAATTTGCAGTAACAGACTGGAGTCCAAGAGCAGCTCAGTGGTGATATTCCACCCTATTTTCCTCTTAAACATCAGCTTTTAACAGCAGAGAAATCGATGGCACTAAAGGCAGTGAGGATCAAGCTGACAGGGAATGCTGCAAACTTCTCCAAACAGCCTTCCTCACTCGCTTCATTTATCACCTAGAGCCTCAGCTCTTCTGGCTCCGGGCATGCTCCCCTCCTCCTCGGCCCTGCAAGCAGGACTAATTTTCATTAGCAACAAGGCAGGAGACTAATTACAGTACAAGTTTCATTTGTGAAGGGACTCCAGGGAGAGGAGGAGGGGGAAGATAGCTCTTTGCTTGCTCTGCCGCCTAAACAGTTTATATTTGTTAGTATAGAAATAAGTATGATGACAGCAAACTGATGCCTAAGGAGCTATTCCCCCATTAACCTGACATCCGCCGCAGTTCACACGCACCACCATTTATATGCACCATTAATATTTATAAGGGTGACGTGTCTTTTTGACAGGAACTTGTGCCTCCAACGACAACAGATGTTATACCATTTATGAAAGAAACTACTCAAGCATTTCCAATGGACCTTGTCCATGCTCATCATGTCTTTATTGTGTGCTCTGATTATATTATCCATGGAGAGCCTGGGTCACCAATGCTTCCAGTCCAAGAACACAGATGGCAGCACACTGGCCTTTAGAGTACTTAAAAATTTTTGAAGTTTCATTATGCCTCTGTGGATGTTCTTCTGGGAGCTGGAGACCTTCCAAATGCACCTGACAACTCAGAAGTGTGCAAGGCATTACATGTCAGACTTCCCCATCTCATGAGGATTTGCCACTTACCTGGCCCTCCAAAACACATGGCACATAGCTGAAGCTGCAGGATTGCCTCCCACAGCTGCCTTTACCACCGCAGCTGCATCATCTACAAAGAATTAAAGCCTGTTATTATACGCTGTGTTATTCTTCCCTATGCATAGGCTCGCAGGAGAGCACATGCAGCAGGGCACAGATCCAGTTATCTCTGCTAAAACTATGCTGTTCCTTGGCCAGACTGCAATTTATAGCATGTGTAGGAGCCCATCTCTGACAGGACAGAGCTCCCCATTCTAGCAAAGGTTAAACTCCCACCCTCCATAGAGGAGGAAGCAGTGCCCATACACTTCCCCATCAGCAGAGAGCAGAATGGGTTTAACCTGGAAAAAATGATACAGATAAGTTGATGGGGTTTGTGAGAGAAATCTCCTTCAGGAACCACCATGCATGGGCAAGCACTGAGGTATTGGACAAAGTATCTAAGGAACATTTTCTTTTACTAGATTGCAGCTGACATTTCCATTAAAATGCATGAGGTTACCATGATTCGCTTCACCTGATATGATGGAACTTGTTTAAAGTAGCACAAAAATATCACATTATCCCACGGGCTAGAGGAGATAGCCTGCAGTGACTCCCTCCTCCAGAATGGCAGCTCTAGTGATGCCCTGATATTTATGCCACATACATTTTTAATGCCCAGCACAAACAGCTCCAGCATTTGTCAACTCATTTGATCAGCAGCTTTTCAAAGACAATACAAAAAGACATGCTGCAGAACAAGAGCTAGCAACAGTACAATGCCTCACCATCAGCACCCATCCAGTCAGAGCAGAAATAGGATGTTATAGCCACGGCCAACTCCCTCTAGCCATCCTTGGCCAAGATTTGCTAGCCTGCTGGTAGAGTCTCCTCTTCTCATGCATTCAGAAGTCCTCAACCTATCCCTGCAGCTCCTCACTGCTAAAAACCACACAGATCTGAGAGGCTTGTGAGAAATAGTTGCTGTTCAGCAGCCACCAGCATTTCCTCACCCAAGTCCTAACACAGCTGAACTTTGACTGAGGTGAATTTGGGAGTTAATCCTCCAGCCTAAGTTAGCTCTGAAACACAGCTGATACCAACACCTGCAGTAAAGAGGCCTGACAGGTTTGGGGACTGCACCTGCAGCCACAGTGGTGCAGTGCCTCTTGTATAAATCAGCAGAATTTATACCAGCATTAACCCCACTGTTGGAGCACCTGATTACTTATGTGTTGTGGTTTAACCCCAGCCAGCAACCAAGCACCAGGCAGCTGCTCACTCACCTCCCCCCAGCCCAGTTCTAGGAAAAGCTAAGCTTTCTCTGAAGGGAAAACAAGCTCACAGAATCTTTTAGTTTATCTTTTACCACATGATTACATACATTGTGTGTTACTGCGTATTTTATAAACATGTGTAAGTGTATTAGTGTGTTTTATACACCTCTGCTGACCTTATGTGCCTAGTTTTGCTTCAGAAAGAAGATGGCTCCTCCAAAATTGTGACACTCGTTACTTCACTGTAGTTGGCACCCATACAATCGTGGGTTTTCCCTGCCAGGCCAAGTATGCATAAAACATACATGAAATGCAGTCACAGATGTCTCTACTCACTTTAATACAAAAATGCTGTGTACCTGGCCTGCTCCAAACAGCGTTTCTGCTTAGCCAGCATTAATTATATCGATGAAATAATGAGCCAGTTTCCAACATTGTGTTATGCAGAGAACTGTGTACATGAAAAGCAGAAGGACAGACTTAGTCATACATCCTACTCTGCTCCTGCCTGGTGCAGGGAAACTTGTCACCGACTGGACAAACTCTTTGACAAAATCCAAGTACTGATACTTTAACGTAAAAGGAAGAAACACAAGAGAAATACCTTTCTGAAAATAACATCTTCTGTCCATTGTGATACAAAAAGCAGACTGGCCTGAACTTGGGTCTCCAGCCAGGATACCCCAAATGCCAGCTCTATCCCTGATGTGCTCCTCTGTGATGGCTGTGGGAAGACACTGCTGAACTTCTCTATCCCAGTCTGCTCTTTTACCAGACATAGATTAACATAGTGCAGGCACAGTGCTTAGGAGATGAAAAGCAGCCCTGAGTAACATTGGACTGACTAAGAGCCACCCCAGCCTTTCCCAGAGCACGTGCCGTTACCCGCTGGACCACGCGAGCCGCGCCAGGCACCGACCTACAGGTGCGGATCCATAACAAATGATGGAGCCGGGGGTCACGAGGCTCTACCCAGCTGTGGGCGCCCGCAGCTCACATCAGACCTCTCAGCAAGGATAACCTCAGCACCACCAAAACCAGTGGGCTTTCCATGGCGAAACAAACCGGGAGAAAGCTGGAGCGGGAGCGGAGCTATGCTGGACACATAGAGGGAGGCGAACGTGCGGCAGCGCCGAGTCAAGCGGGGGACGCGTCTCCCGTTTCCTCGGGGGGTAAAAATATGACATGCATTAGCGAAGAGAATAAAAGGAGGGAAACAAAGGAGCGGGAGCGAACACCTGTCGCTCTCCTCGGGGACGAGCCCTAATGCTTTTATTTGCCTCAGTATGCCGGGGGAACTGCAGCTGCCAACTGTCATCAGCATCAAGTTACCCGCACAAAGCTCGGCCTGCCCGCCGCTTCCAGACAGGGGAGGCGGAGGGCTGGACGCGCCCGGGGACGGCACCGAGCGCTCGGGGCCCGGCTGCCCGTGGCCACAGGGCGGGCGAGCGGCCCCTGGGGCTGGGGAAGGGCTGCCCCGGGGGGCAGCCGTGGTGTCCAGCACAGCCCTGCATAGCCTGAACGGGCGCGTCCTCCCCGGCAGGCACCCAAACTCCGGCTCCCGGAGCCTCCCCATCCACCAAGATGGGGCAGGACGAGGAAGACCTGGCCCCTGGCCAGCCGTGCCTGTTCAGTCCCGCTGGTTCCCGCTCAGAGCTCAGACTGGCTCTTTCACGCCCAGGTCGGTCCCTGTCGGCAGCGAGGGGCACCGACGGCCCCCCGACGAACCGCACTCACGCGTGTTCCGACGCTTTGAGCCCGTAACGGGCGGTGGGTGTTTGGGGGCTCACTGCAGGGTTGGACTGACATGAACCGCTGCTTCGCGGAGCCGCAAGCTGCAGGGAGGGGCACGTCCCCTTCCCCCAGCCCAGACCGAGAGTCTCCGGGCGGTGTCAGCCTCGAGAGCGGGGCCCATCCCGACCCCGATTTCATTCCCGCTCCGCGCCCGCCCCGGTCCGGCAGCGCCGGCGGCCGCGCAGCCCCGCCCCGGCGCAGACAAAGCGCGCGATGCCCATTGGTCCGTTCGGCCCACGCGCGGCGCGGCCCGCGCGGCGCGGCCAATGGGCTCATTGACATGCAAATCGCGGGGTATAAAGCGGACGGCGCGGGGCGGGAGCGGGGCTCAGGGGCCGCCATGGCGCCGCGTACCGATCACCCGCTGCGGGGCCGAGGCTGCGCGGAACCCCGCGCCGACCGCAGGGTGAGCGACGGGGGCCGCGGCGAGCAGGGCGGGGCGGGATCGGGCTGGGCGGGGGGTCTGATGGCGCTGTTGTCCCTGCAGACAAGGAAGCCGCTGGTGGAGAAGAAGCGCCGCGCGCGGATCAACGAGAGCCTGCGGGAGCTGCGGCTGCTGCTCGCCGATAGCGAGGTGAGGCGGCGGCGCGGCGGGGCGGGGGCCGGCGGGGCCCGGGGCCGCTCTGACGGCCGGGGCGCCCTGGGTCAGTTTCAGGCGAAGCTGGAGAACGCAGAGGTGCTGGAGCGGACGGTGCGGCGGGTGCGGGCCGTGCTGGAGCGCCGCGGCCGCGGTGAGTGCGGGCCCGGGGGGCGGCGGGGGGCGCCCGGCCCGGCTCTCACCTCACCCGCGCCCCTCTCTGTCCCAGGCGGCGGGCGGCGGCTCCTCGAGGCTAGCGAGCGCTTCGCCGCCGGGTACATCCAGTGCATGCACGAGGTGCACACCTTCGTCTCCAGCTGCCCCGGCATCGACGCCACCACGGCTGCCGAGCTTCTCAACCACCTGCTGGAGTCCATGCCCCTCAGCGAGGGCGGCTGCCCGGACTCACTCACGGACGTTCTGGGGGATGCCGCGCTGCTAACCCTGCCTGCCGGGGCCCCCCTGGCCCTGCCTGCCCCGGCGCCCTCGCCGTCCCCCAGCGAGGAGACCTGCTCCGACTCGGACGAGGCGGAGGCCGAGCCGGGCCAGACCCGCACGGACGGACTGGACGCGTCGCAGACGCGCGGGCTGCCCTCGCCCGGCCTGCCCAAATCCATGTGGAGACCCTGGTAACGAAGGAGCGGGAGACAACGCACACCTACCTATGGGGGAGAGCAAGGGGGCCCCCGGCAGCAGGGCACGGCCGGCACACGAGTGTGTGTGTGAGCCTGCGAGAGTGTGTGTGCACACGCTCCAGGACTGTATCGGTGGCGCTCTGACGCTGTCACACCCTGACAGGCTAATAGCGAACGCGTTAACATTTCATTTGTGTGTGTGGCATTTTGTAACTTCAGGGGTTTGTTTTTATGAGAGGTGGGGGAAGGGGGAGGGGAGGGAGTTGGGTTGTAGTAGCAAAGCTCTCTGGATACACAGCAGTTATAACCCTCTCTCTTTTTTTCTTGGCCCTTATGAGTGGCCCAAATACCACTACCTTTTTTTTTTTTTTTTAAGGAAAAGCCCTTGTGTATTTTAAATCGTGATGGTTAACTCCATGAGAAGCTCGAGCTAAGTCTGCATGCACGGTTTTAAGTGTTTTAGTGATAGCACAGACCCCTGAAAGGGGTTGGTCTTGTTAGCATCTGTACTCAGTAGCAGTCTAGAGTCTCCCCTTCAGTGAAGGGAGAGAAAACTAGAAACCTGGTGGAACTAGACAAACATTTAAAAGATACTGGTGGCAGGGTGCCTTTTAGAAATGAGTGTCTTTATGCACATTTTGCTTTTAGCACATCTGAGTTTATTGTGACTTTATGTATATTAGGGTGTCAAATGTTTTTTATTTTTAATCTTTAATAAAAAAATAACTGAATTCACAACATGGCATGTATTGTGTAATGTGATATACTTCTAACCCACTTAAAAAAATTAAAAATACAGTTCCCTATTATTAACAACAGTATGTCATGGAAACAATGCTGGTAATTAAGCACTTAATTCTTGTACTAAGCGTTGTTAAGTAGTGGAATTCAAATTCTTTTGTTTAATACTAGAAGACACTTAAGTTATTACAGGAAGCAAGGTCATCCTGGCTAAGGTTGGTCTTAGGCCACAGGTTTCTAGGCTGGTTGGTCTGGATGCCATTCTCAAACCTACTATACTGGATCTGCCATCTGAAGGTGCTGCTCATACACGTACAGCCCTAACTTCAGAAGTACTAGGCAAATCCTGTCCTGGGGCATAACTTCACATTGAGGGTGTTTTTTTTGGAAAGTATTCTTTAAATTATTTTCTCAGAGGCTTGGGGCCGACCCTCAGCATTCTCGTATATTAACTTTGATCCCTCCCTATTCCTGCTTTGGGGAGATGCCAGGTTATTTATGCTGTGGAAATACCTTTCAGAGAGCTGCTATTGTAAAGAGAAAAACAAAAAAGGCTGTGAAGTATCTTAATATGTGGAAGTTCTCAAGCACAGAACAAGCAAGAAAGGAAGCAAGCCAACTACCAAGGGACTAGACATGTAACTTTGTCTTACTAAGAACCCTATGGAATAATAAAAATAGAAAGTAGGATACTGGTAAGACCTATCCTTTGTCATTTTCTTTACCTGAGGTGGGTGTTCTTATTCAAAGATGGCCATCAAATTTGTTTGGTTCTTCTCATCCCCTTTTGTGCTAAATTCCCTTTGAACTGGGGGGAGAGGGGCAAAAAACAGCTGAGCAAGGGGAAGTGAGAGCTGTAGTGACCCTTCTGCTTTAGGGAGGGAGGTCAGTATTTTGGAGTGTAAATGAAAGAGGAGCCTGGGACACTTGCACTGAGTGTAACACCCTACACACAAGATGACCTCTTGGACTGAGGCTGTACCTCTCTAGGCCCAGCACAAGTCAGGGTTTATTTATATAAAGCTCTTACCCCCAGGTATCACTCTCCACAGTTATGCCCTGTGGGAACTGCCCTTGGTGGTACAGCAAGGTAATGTTACCTGGGCTGTCACTGTGTATTGTTACCCTGCTGCACTCAGCCAGAGTTACCTGTAACAGCTGGAAAAGGCCCTTTCTGTGAGGGGGCTCTCAAGAGGGAGATGAAGCCACAGCAACAACCCAGCCTGTGGCTCACAGCAGCATACACAGCAGCACTGTAGACATCTGCCTGAGCTCACTGGCCTCGGCTGTGACATCCAGGGGTGATGCTGGGCCAGGGCAGCCACTCCAGCCCCTCTGCTGCTGCAGGAACACCAGAGGCAGCTTCATTTCCATGAGATGAAAGACCCTCGGGTTAGGGCTCTCTGTAACACTCCTATGAAAGCAAGTGCAAATCCTGACACTTGGTGACAGGAACACTGCCCAGAGTCAACAAAGAAGTGCCAGCTTTGGTTCAGCAGTGGATGGAGGCAGGGGCAGCAAAGCCATCTCTAAGCAGCACTGTGGACATGTTGCTTTTCCTGGACTGGCCCTGGAGAATGGGAGCAAAGCTGGCCTTCCCCATTTACCTGTGCCTTTTCCCATTCCTGCATAGATTGTACTTCTCACACCTGGGGTAACCCTCCTGGGCTGGTGGCCCACACAGTTCCCTGCACATCTGCCACAGCAACTGCAGACCTGGGCACATGCCAGCCCTGCTCCTGCAGCAAGAAACAGGCAGAGGTGACACCACCCAGACAGCTGCTCTGCCAAAGCCAGGATGGTTAGGAAGAGCACAGGGATTACAGGCCTATCCCCTGAGCATTTACCAGTCCTGTACTGGCTGAAATGAAAAAGCCAGGTCAGAGCAGTACTACTAAGAGTTTTTCAAAAGTGTTAAAAGCATTTTAGAAATGTGTTATTAGCAACAGGGCTTTTTTTTCTTAAATCCACAAATTAGGTTCACAGAAAGTTTACATCCTCTGATTAGGTGTTGCTAGAGTTCTCCATTTGCATTTCTGTACCTTACTGCAAAGGTGTCAAATCTGACACTTCCCTGACAAAGGCAGGAAGAGGTGAGCGGGGTGGGACTGGGGAAGGGGCAATGGGGGAAGGAAGGTTTCCAACAGCTCTGATGAAAAACCAGTGAAGCCTTTTCAAGTCCTTCTTTATAGAAACTGCCTTTATTCTTTTCCATTCTAAAGTAATACAAACAATCTGATCTGACAGTACTGCCTTGTAAAAGGAGAGAGGGGCAGCACACTAACAGGACTCCTCTCCTTTGATATGCAGTTGAAGAATAACAGAAAGAAGGGTTCATTTTCCCCTCTCTTTGCATGTCAGTCACTCACACCTGTTGCAAGGGAAAACTGCTCCTTATTAGACCAGGTCAGCTTCGAGGACTTACAGCTTAAACCTCCTCCCAACCTCTTGGCAACAAATACCAGGTCTTTTGTCAGAGCCTCAGGCCAGGAGGCAAGATCAAGCTTTTAGATTGTCCAAATCAACTTACATCTTCTTTCATCTCTCACTAGCAAGTATCATGCAGCTCTCTACAGTTTCCCTCTCAAAATAAATAAATGCTTCAGTCTTTATTCCGTTTAAAAGGACAGATGAATAAAAGCTCAGTCCAGCCCTCAGTGGCAGGGTTAGGGGATGTGCAGACATCATGTGGAAAATCTCTGCTAAGCAGACAGTTTGTTCCTGTCTATAATACAGACAGTTGACATTTTTTACCATCCCAGATGCTGCCATTAGCAGAATGCTATCGAAACAAGTCACAAAAAAGGAGGATTTACTCCTGTGAGGAGTGTTGGTTAATCCTGGCATCCAGAGCCTTGCCATGTTATGGTAGATAACATGCCCAAGGGGCCATCCACTCTTGATACCTCCATCTGTTGGAGCCCAGTTTCAGTATTTCCCAGTTTTTGAGCCCATCTCCAAGCACAGCTCTATGGACACACTCACATAGCAGCAGGTCTCCAGCCCTAACCTCCTCCACCCTGCAGACACATAGGGTGTGCTTACAAAGCTGCTGTTCAGCTGCTGGAACACACCAAGACCTTTGCCCAAGCCACTTGCTCTTTTCTCTGGAGATGAAAACAACTGGGCCAAACAACGCCTCTCCTGCCAAGTGTGTCCCACAAGCCATGGCTTGGACCACAGAAACACAGAAGCCAGTATGGATAGGACCTGGGAGCGGAACATCATCTTGGTCTTCAGAAGAGCATAATGGTTTCAACAAGTTCATGCATGAAGCACATGGAAAAATCAAGGATCCAAACAATCCATTAATCCAGCTGCCTTAACCAGAAGCCTACCCTTCCTCTGCTTCCTAAGACATATTTTCATCTTCTTGCATGAGGTGCCTGGTTCCAAGTTGCCATTATGCTCCTCTTATAGCAAATTCCTGAGTCCACAGTTATCTATATGGACAGTGTCACTAAAGCCACTAAAGTCACAATGCACTTTAAGCCTCTCAGGCTTCTGCATGAGCTAAGCTAAAGAAAAAGCAAAAGGGAAAAAGTAGTCTGTGTCCTTTCATGGGACTTTAGCTCTTTATACAACATTATAGTTTTCAGCAAGTACAATTCATTGCACTGAATTTTAAGAAGGTTAAAAAAAAATTCAAGCTGGTGCAGAAAACATTCAAACATGAAAATACACCTTGCAGCACAAGGCTTTAAGTTAATTGAGTTAAAGAAGATGATGAATGAGGGTGATTTGATTAGCTATACTGCATATGTTGTATTACACATACGTTATATAGCTCACTTAAGAGCCGAGGAAATCATGGCTTCAAAAAGTATTTTAATCCAATAAAGTAGAGCCTTAAATGCCAAGACCTAGATAGTGGGTCCAAGTAGCTTGGAATGAGAAGGAAACTGATTGAAATTAAGACACTGGAAGAAGTAATGAATTTCTTTCTCTTAATGTCAAGTGAGACAGAACATATTCCCAGAAGCAAATACAAGTTGCTTTGGTTACAAACAAAAACTACTTAGTAAAACAACAACATACAAGCAATTATATTAACTGATTCCTTCTGGCCTTACATTTCTTAATTACTGGGCATCACCCAGAGCCTGCATGTCCACTCAGGAGTTTCTAAATGGGTTTCAGCTTCTTGTGGCCCCTGTGGAAGCCTGGCTGTGTTTTGGGCTTTGGACCATCCGTGACTGAGACACACACTAGTAAAACTTCTGACTTCCTTTCTTCCTAGCCTAAACTAAGTTCCCCAGAACTAACCTGCGCTAAGCAAAGTCAGTATAAACCCCCTCCTACTGTCAGCAAACAATGGCTTTTATAATCAATGCTCCACAAATTGAGCAGGGGGGGAAAGCCCAGAAAAGACACATCAACTCCATTATCAGCCCCATCAAACTTTTCCACCAACAGGGAGAAGATGTTCACAACATCCATATGTCTCACCAAGGTCTGAATCACACAAGTTTAGAGCAAATTTGCCTCCTTTGGGCATGCAAATGTTACTTGCTGGATATGATCAGCCCTCATAAAACAAGAGTGGCTTCATTAGTCACAGCTGCCCTCCAACATGGGTAATATCTACCTACACATTGCTGCTTTCCAAAACGCACTCAGACTCCTTTCCTGCTCAACAGATCCTCAGCACGGGCCTGCAGAGTACCAGGAGTTTGACACTGCATTACACACACCTGAGCCTGATACAGGTTCCTTCTACCCTTCACAGGAGTGGATTAAGTGGTCAGAAAATGAGTGTAATTGAATCCCTCATCCAGGCAGAGGGGGCACACAGCATCTTACCAAAATCTAGAATTCTGGAGCAAATCTCCACTGGGTAGCTGCTACTCTCCCAGCAGCTGCAAGCCTCTCACTCATCAACCAACTGACTGCAGTTTCTTAATAACCCAAAACAGGTTCTCAGTGAAGTCCATGACAGCAACCTGCTGCTCAGGAGCCTTAGGATACCTGTATAGAGAGCCTAGGATGTCCTTTAGTT